ATCCAAAGAATGATACAGGGCGACATTTCTCAAATTCTCATTTTACCAAAAAACTTGCAAACAATGAAATAATTCAGCGTCGTTGGTTAATATACTCAGTTTCTAAAAATCGAGTTTACTGTTTTTGTTGCCGGCTATTTGATAGCAGCTCAACGTCGAATTTAGTATCTGAAGGATATAACGACTGGAAACACTTATCAGAAATGTTAAAAGTTCATGAAAGTAGCACTTTTCATAAGAAGTNAATTTTTTGTAGTATTTTTTGGCATCTTCAACAAAAATTGTGCGCCATGTCCATTCAGGAATCAAATGGATACTTGGAATGTAATGGCCAAGAAGAAAATATTTCAACTAAAATTAAAAATCATATATTAGCGAAGTATCCATTTGATTTCCTGAAATCAGGCTAGACAAAAGAACTCTGCCACTAATGCAGAAAAAAGTGTTAAATAAATATAAAAAGAAATTAAAAAATAAATTTGCTATGAATTAAAAAAAAAGTAAGTTCATCTTGATTTCGATTAAAAAAAACTGTCATATTCTATTTTGCTCATAGGACAAACCGAATGTACCATAGTACCATAGATGTCCATCTGAGTATCTCTACTTAATCTGTGACGTAGCAGAATCGGAAACCTCTTGAGGTAGGAATAATGAAAGATATTTTATTAAATTACGCTCTAAATAATCTACGCTCGGATGTCTACGAATGTATTTCTTAAGACATTGATGATATCAACAATATTTCTTTTTAATTGTTCTTTATGAAGCATTATGTATTTACATTTAAATTATAATATTTTGCAAATAACTGCTGTCGTCATGTCCTACTTGACCCATATAAAAGACACTTTTATATTCTAAATTATTGCTTTTCTTGAACCATATCTTCTCGATCCTACTGGAGATCTATGTATCAAAAGATTCCTTAGACCTTAGTCCTTCTAGTAACTAGCCTATTATAAATTAGCTGCTAATATCTGCTACCCTTGACGTACAATTCATTTAACTGTAGCTGGATGTGAATTGAAGTTATTGAAAAATGACATAGATGAGGGTATTTTGATAAAAACCTATTTCGTTGTTCATTCGAAAATGCTCACTTATCGTATTGAAGTCATCAGTTGTCACTTTTTTTCATTTCTAGCCACTGATTTTAAACATGCCTGTTTTTAAAATAACAAATAATGATCTTGTCGATATTGTGTTATTAAGTGACCGTGATGTACCCAAATGTATTGAAAATATTAAATCAAGGTATCCAGACCTCGACGAAAACATGTTCGAGAGTATTTCCACATATTTAAGTAAATATTTTTTACCTGCATTTTCAAAAAAATGGTCTGCCCGTCTTGATATTTCTTTCTATAATTTAGATCTTCCGCGCCTTTACTATAAAGAGACGAAATGCGTAGTCACATTGAACTTTGATTTTGAATTTCAATTACCAAGAAGATTCGATGATTGCGAAATTGTCCTTGATGATGGACAAATTATAAATGCTGAGATTCCATATTATTGGTCCACTAATCATGATCTCGAGGTCTCTACGGAATTAAAAAGATGTTACCTAGAAGAAGGCCCTATGTGAGCGAGTGAGCTTGAAAATTTAAATATGATACAAGATCCGGACAACGAAATTGGACTAGTGGCCAAACTTTTTAATGTTGTCGATTGAAAAAACCGACAACGTCAAAATTAAACTGAAAAACGAAGAGTGGCAAAAAATTGCCACAGATTTTAATGCTATTTCTAGCATCCACCCCAGGGAATGTGGTGTTTTAAAAATTCTGTGGGTAAACCTAAAAAAGAGGGCAAAGCAAAGCCAAACTTTGCGCAACCAGCATGTTTTTGGAACAGGTAACTACTGCACATACTCGTAATTAATATAAATTTTTCTTGTAAATTATGAACAAAAAAAATGTAGTTAATTCATAGTTAATAATTAAATTTTATGTTTAAGGAGGAGGGCCGTCCACCAAAAAAAATTGATGAAGATCCCGTAAGCCCGTAACCGATAGAATGCTGGAACTCATCCAAACTCGTGTGACGGGATTTGTGAATAATTTTGATTCTGATGGCACTCTTGTATTAATATATTAATATTGTTTAATTTCATTCAAATAGGTGCCCTTACTTGTAAACTTTCTACATTAAAACCTTTTTTATTTTTAGCCTCAGGTCAGTACCTACACAAGACGGAGAGGACACAAGCGCCAGTATTTTAATTTTACCAGCTCCTGAAAATTTCGTTGACGAAGATTGCTCAAATGGTATGGTATTTAAATACTTAAACATAATTTGAATTTTGGTTCATATTATGAGAATCAATGTTGAACTTATAGTTTTATTTCTAGATGTTAATACTCAGGTCAATGAAGTTACAGAGGAAATTATCAAGATGGTGAGCATTAACATAATTGTCAGTTTATTCATTTCTAATGCTTATAAAGTTTTAATTTATCTTATTATTTATCATGTGTAGGATTGGTCTCGGTATACTCCCAGTATGCTGAGAGTAGTCAAAAATGCTGTATTGGCCAGACCACGAAGCCCATTGCCTGATGAGCAGCTGTCGTCTAACACCGAGCAAGAAATAGCCCCACCGCTACCAATCGCTGATTATCTAATCCTCAGCTGCCGAAAGGAAGGGGAAGGCTCCCGGAAAGACTGTGGTTGAGCCTGAACCGGAACGAGTACAAGAAAAGGATAGGGACGGGAAAGTAGATGAAGATAGGATAGTGGAGGAAATAAGGGAGAATAGGAGACTTTTGCTGGAAAACAGTAGGAAATTGGACGACATAAAGGAGCAGGTAGTCAAGCAGCGGGACACAGCCGACGTGACGACCTACGCCAGCGTGGCGGCGGCCCGGACTGTCCAGCAGCCGACCAGGTCGACCCTGCACTCCATTGTCGTCTCGTCTAAGGAGAACGCAATGGAGACAGGAGAGGAAGTGCTGCGGAGAGTCAGGGACGCCGTCAACGCCAAGGAGGGCTGGGTCAAAGTAGACAAAATAAGAAAAGCTAAGAACCAGAAAGTAATTATGGGCTGTGCCACCGAGGATGAACGCAGAAAAGTTAAAGACAGGATCGACGGTGCGGGAGGCCTCCTCATCGCGGAGGACATGAAAAATAAGGAGCCGCTCCTCGTGATGAAGGACGTCCTTTTGCTTAACAGCGATGAGGACGTCCTGAAGGCACTGAGGAAGCAGAACGGGGACATTTTACAATACATAGCAAACAATTGAAAACCAAATATTGCAAAAGGCTCTGGTGACCATGCTAGAGGTAAATAGAAAAAAAAAATCCTCAGCTGCCAATAGCTGAAGCACAGCCAACAACAAATAGAGCACAAGAGAACCATCAAGCTCTAAATACTTCACAGAGGTAGGCATGAATCTACTGAATTTATTATGCTATCTTATCTTCCATTAGTCTGTTACGTATGGTATGACCATTTTTTAAAACCTGTGGAATACATAGAAGTTTTTAAAAAATATGGGACTGTTGTGCCATTGAACAATATTGCTCAGGTCGGGACATGGGCTGACTTTGACGCAAGGCTCAGACATACTTCTGCCCCCAAAGAAATTGCCATTCGTCATCTACCAGGAGATCGTGAAGGTCAGCCAGACAAACCAAACGACCGAGTGCTTTATAGCCGAAAAGAGAACCCTGATCGCACAGCTGCCTGAAAACCACATATTGGTCGAAGACCAGCTCATCGACCTGGTGTATNCCTTCGCCTTTTTTCGTATGGATTTGAATTGCAGTTAGGGGGCGCCGTAGAAATCTCGCCCAGGGCGCTGGTAGTACTAAAACCGGCACTGTGTACAAATGAGGATAACGATGTACATAGATGGATTCAAAGTATAAAAAAAATAAAGCTGATCTATCCATCGGAATATGCCGTGAGGCACTTTGGTTATGTAATTCAGGAATCAAATGGATACTTGGAATGTAATGGCCAAGAAGAAAATATTTCAACTAAAATTAAAAATCATATATTAGCGAAGTATCCATTTGATTTCCTGAAATGTAACGATTACAAAGCTCTTGTACTAGAATATTTTATTCAATTGTCTATTAAATTAAGTATTTACAACTGGTGCAACGTCATTCAATAGGATTTTGAAAGGCACTGACATAATCAGGCTAGACAAAAGAACTCTGCCACCAATGCAGAAAAAGTGTTAAATAAATATATATTTAATTTAAAAAATAAATTTGCTATGAATTAAAAAAAAAGTAAGTTCATCTTGATTTCGATTAAAAAAAATTTTCATATTCTATTTTGCTCATAGGACAAACCGAATGTACCATACTACCATAGATGTACATCTGAGTATCTCTACTTAATCTGTGACGTAGCAGAATCGGAAACCTCTCAGGTAGGAATAATGAAAGATATTTTATTAAATTACACAATTATTTATTACTTCAATATCGACAATTATTTCGTTTATAAATTCAAGCAATCATTTTGCCATGGCACTGAACCTACAGTGTTGAAATACTCGCAGAAATCATCTCTCAATCTCAAGGCGCGGCGACGGCGCGGCGGCGCACAGTAGTCGGCAAGCGGAAAAAAGTCCAAAATTGGAAGATTCTAATTCATTTAAATTAGCATAGTAGCCTTATTGTAGAATAGTTATGGGATCATAATCACAAAAAAAAATCAATTAAACGTTATTTTAAAGGAAAATTATGTGTCATAAGTTGATCATACACGAAATATTTATATGTATGTAATGTATGCTCGGATGTCTACGAATGTATTTCTTAAGACATTGATGATATCAACAATATTTCTTTTTAATTGTCCTTTATGAAGCATTATTATTTACATTTAAACTATAATATTTTGCAAATAACTGCTGTCGTCATGTCCTACTTGACCTATATAAAAGACACTTTTATATTCGAAATTATTGCTTTTCTTGAACCATAACTTTTTTGCCTTCTCGATCCTACTGGAGATCTATGTATCAAAAGATTCCTTAGGCCTTAGTCCTTCTAGTAACTAGCCTATTATAAATTAGCTGCTAATATCTGCTACCCTTGACGTACAATTCATTTAACTGTGGCTGGATGTGAATTGAAGTTATTGAAAAATGACATAGATGAGGGTATTTTGAAAAAACCTATTTCGTTGTTCATTCGAAAATGCTCACTTATCGTATTGAAGTCATCAGTTGTCACTTTTTTTCATTTCTAGCCACTGATTTTAAACATGCCTGTTTTTAAAATAACAAATAATGATCTTGTCGATATTGTGTTATTAAGTGACCGTGATGTACCCAAATGTATTGAAAATATTAAATCAAGGTATCCAGACCTCGACGAAAACATGTTCGAGAGTATTTCCACATATTTAAGTAAATATTTTTTACATGCATTTTCAAAAAAATGGTCTGCCCGTCTTGATATTTCTTTCTATAATTTAGATCTTCCGCGCCTTTATTATAAAGAGACGAAATGCGTAGTCACATTGAACTTTGATTTTGAATTTCAATTACCAAGAAGATTCGATGATTGCGAAATTGATGATGATGGACAAATTATAAATGCTGAGATTCCATATTATTGGTCCACTAATCATGATCTCGAGGTCTCTACGGAATTAAAAAGATGTTACCTAGAAGAAGGCCCTATGTGAGCGAGTGAGCTTGAAAATTTAAATATGATACAAGATCCGGACAACGAAATTGGACTAGTGGCCAAACTTTTTAATGTTGTCGATTGAAAAAACCGACAACGTCAAAATTAAAATGAAAAACGAAGAGTGGCAAAAAATTGCCACAGAATTTAATGCTATTTCTAGCATCCACCCCAGGGAATGTGGTTTTTTAAAAATTCTGTGGGTAAACCTAAAAAAGAGGGCAAAGCAAAGCCAAACTTTGCGCAACCAGCATGTTTTTGGAACAGGTAACTACTGCACATACTCGTAATTAATATAAATTTTTGTTGTAAATTATGAACAAAAAAAATTTAGTTAATAAAATTCAATTTAATAATTAAATGTTTAAGGAGGAGGTCCACCAAAAATTGATGAAGATCCCGTAAGCCCGTTACCGATAGAGTGCTGGAACTCATCCAAACTCGTGTGACGGGATTTGTGAATAATTTTGATTCTGATGGCACTCTTGTATTAATATATTAATATTGTTTTATTTTACCAGCTCCTGAAAATTTTATTGACGAAGATTGCTCAAATGGTATGGTATTTAAATACGTTAACATAATTTGAATTTTGGTTAATATTATGAGAATCAATGTTGAACTTATAAATTGTTTTATTTCTAGATGTTAATACTCAGGTCAATGAAGTTACAGAGGAAATTATCAAGAAGGTGAGCATTAACATAATTGTCAGTTTATTCATTTCTAATGCTTATAAAGTTTTAATTTATCTTATTATGTATCATGTGTAGGATTGGTCTCGGTATACTCACAGTATGCTGAGAGTAGTCAAAAATGCTGTATTGGCCAGACCACGAAGCCCATTTCCTGATGAGCAGCTGGCGTCTAACATCGAGCAAGAAATAGCCCCACCGCTACCAATCGCTGATTCACAGCTGCCATTATCTAATCCTCAGCTGCCAATGGCTGAAGCACAGCCAACAACAAGTAGAGCACAACAGAACCATCAAGCTCTAAATACTCCACAGAGGTATGCATGAATCTACTGAATTTATTATGCTATCTTATCTTCCATTAGTCTGTTACGTATGGTATGACTGCATCAAAACATTTGATGTTATTTTAATATAACAAACAAAATACATTCTTATTTCAATTTATTGTTTCGTATTAGTAGTTCGAAACGCACTTCTATGCTGTGAGGTCGCACACTCACACTCACTAAAAACTCTTTGGTCGACTTGTGCCCAAAGGTTATAAATCTTCTTCAGAGACGACTGTTGGTCTTCATACTTTTATATTACAGGGCCATGACAACACGCGTGACTCCAGCAGCCATGAGTGCTGCTTCGACTAGTCGCCAGCGGCCAGTCTCAAGGCGCGAAAGAGAGGCTCATAATTTAACCACGAAGATAATAAACACACTCCTCAAATGTAATACACATGCTGAGGAGGAGCAAGCTATTCAAATGCGAATATTAAAACTACAGGAGGAAAGAGAAAAACTACGCCTCCAGGAGCAATAAAAAATTTTAGAACAAGAAAAATTAAAAATACACACACAAGAGAAAGTTAAACTAGAAATTTTATTGAAAAAATTAAATGAATAAATCTGTTTTACAATTGTTTTATTATTATTCCATAAATATAATATCCACATAAAAATTGCATCTGTAATGAATGATGGACCATGGGGCGTTTGTTATTGTCAGTCAATAATTAAAACAGTCGAGCTAGTTTTCCCCATTCCCGGTCACTCATTTATTCCACCAGATCGGGTTTTCAGTCTTGTTGAGAAAGAAATAAAGCGTATGGAGACCATTTTAAAACCTGTGGAATGTGGAATACATAGGCAGATACGGTTCGACATTCGGGAGAAGATTGTCCGAGAGCATGTCCACACGTTCGATGAACTGCTGGAGAAAGCCAGAGAAGTGGAGAGACATGTCAATGAAAAGACGAAGCTTTCCGAACGACCAAACTGTACGCCAGGCAAGCCACAGAAATTTAGTTTTTGCCGTTTGGCCAGACACACTATCGAGACCTGCAGGAAAAAGGCAAAGGCGGATCAAGCAGAGGCTGGAACTAGCCCACCCATGTAGAAAAGAGGAAGTTCTCATGCTATGGCTGTGGAGAACTTGGCGTTTTTCGTAGCCGGTGCCCAAAATGTTCGACGAGGAGGCCAGCCACCACTACAGACCACGCTAGTTTCTGCAGCATCAAGATAGGGGAAATGAACCTGAGACCTGTGATCAGAATCCAAATTGGTTATATTAAGGGAACCGCCCAAATTGACACGGGAGCCAGATCAAATGTTGCCTCCTATTCCTTGTACCGTCAACTGGGTACTTCTTCAAAGAACAGGAGATGCGCATCACAAAAAATTGAAAAGACAGTAAAACCATGAACACCCAAGGCAAAAATATGCACCCTATCTTTGACGAGATGTCAATAACACCTAACATTTCATATGATGCGGCAAAACACGTATTGCGAATCACGTCTTGGTGTTCATGGTGAAAAGCATTGTAGCCAATTTTAAACAACCGGTGTCTTATTATTTTACCAATAAGTTTAAAGAAAGACGCACAAGAAAACAGACCTTTTCCTGATTTCATGGATTTTTCCATGAAAATTTAAGGCTAAAAGTTTATTGTTAAACAGCTCTCATTTCAGAATCATTGAGTTATCGAGGTTCCTGGGACGATAATAACATCAAACAAAAAGAAATGGATCAACTGGTGGCTGAAATGCTGGCACTACAAAATTTGCCATTTAATTTTGTAGAGGGCCTGAGACTTCAAAGGTTGATACAGGCAGTCGTACCTCGTCGGTCTGCAGTATTTTATTCTAAGAGGTCGGCAGTATTTTACTGACTTGCTGTGCAGGGAGATCTCTACAACAACATCAAGATGAGATAAAATCAGAGATTTTCGCTTTCGTTACTAACGAACAATTCCATTTTCATTTCCATTGACAATTATATTCAAACATATTTACAAGAACAAGAAGACCAAGAAAATATTATATGCCCTTTTGGCCTGAGCAATATTGAATTTCATGTAGAGGATCCTCTAGGATTTGACAAACACAGTTGGGTAATAGTCATATTCGCTTCAAAAAAAAGTGTTAAGCACTTTATCGGAAAGGTTTTATTTATTAATAATAAAATTCCTACTGTAAAATTTGCGAGAAAAGTTAAAAATTCGAAGTGTAATAAGGGAACAGTGCAGTCTTCACTTACCCTAACATTGATGATGTATGTGCTGTACAAGATTTAAATGACATTATTACAGTATTACCTGACCCCTAAATCACCCGACGAGGACAATTCATATTTAATTTAAGTCTCGAAAAATATAAGATACAGTGATATTAATTATTATAATATACTAGCTGACCCGGCGAACTTCGTACCGCCTTAGCGTAGAGATTTTCTTAATATTTTTTTCCGTAAGAACCATCCTTGGACTTCCACAAACATTTAAAAAAAAGAATTATCGAAATCGGTTCAGCCGTTCACACGTGATGCCGTGACAACGCGAAACGGGTTTCATTTTTATATATATAGATTTACGAGTCTGTAATACCAGTAGATACTTGTATGTAGGATTGTATTCTGTTAACTACTCAGTATTAGCATAGTGTTCGTTTTTATAACACCTGCAATTAAGTTCCTATTGATATTAGTTTAAAGTTGGTATTATAGAATTTTTTAATAAGTATTANTTGGCAACGTTGTCAATCGAAAATGAAATTGCTGAAAACATCGACTTTGATAACTTAATAAAAGAGTTCGCCGATAGAAAGGCTAGAAAAGTAAACAATTTTATTAGTTTTTTTAATAAATGTTTATTTCTTTTCATAAATGGTTATTTCATTATTATCCTTCGCCTTTTTTCGTATGGGTTTGAATTGCAGTTAGGGGGCGCCGTAGAAATCTCGCCCAGGGCGCTGGTAGTACTAAAACCGGCACTGATTCAATGATCAAAATCTCTATTCTCTTTTATGTTTTTGAAGATGGATTATCTGTGATCATTCTGACTGAGTTTCTTCCGCTACTTTTTCTCAGCAACAGCCCATGTTGTCCCGAAATGGTGGTAGGGCAAGCTATATTTGGGACGTATAAACGCCCTGAAAAGGGCCTTATTATATATATAAAAGAAAGTCGTGTTAGTTACTTCGCTTATAACTCAAGAACGGCTGAACCGATTTAGCTGAAAATTGTCAGGGAGGTAGTTTAGAGCCAGGAGAAGGACATAGGATACTTTTTATCCCGTTCGAAATTAAAAAAAAAAGTCTGCTTATTTATTGCCATTAAGGCGGAACAAAGTTCGCCGGGTGAGCTAGTTACTGAATAAAATCTTTGCATCTTTGACTCATACATACCTAATGCCGTATTTGCAAAAACATCCCAAAAGTAAAGCACCCTTTCCAAAATAAAACGAAGTGTTACATTAATTGAACGCATTACTATGCAATGAAAGATTGGCAACGAAGTAAACGGTGGTGCCTTGGGCGGGCGCCAGCGCGCGTTGCCAGCGCCTACCCGCTGTTGTTTACTAATACTAATTACCGTAATTACACGTCTCTTCTGCAAAGACCTAATTGTCGTGTTTGGTCATTTGTGAATGACAGTAACGGGTTAAAAAGTAAGTAGATTGCAATAAACCCATTTATTAACTTATCTACTTTACTTCGTATTTAGTAGTATCAACTATCAAGCTAGTGATAGGTGGCTACATCGGTCGCAGAACTGACGAAAAGTGAAGTAAAACGGTCTTAAAAAGATACTTAGTTGCAGCATGATTACAGTGATTAGCTGAAAAAGCGGGAGACCGTGCTTTGTGGCGGCTCTCGGTTGAGATGAGGATGTCCTATCTATAATAGCAATACTTCTCCTGTCCTGCTTCGATATATTTACGTTTAATTATAATCAAATCAGGATTGTGTTTCTTATCTCTCACTTTAATTTTGCACTATATTAGAGATATTTCTTTTAGTTTATTTGATATTAATTAAGAAATTAATTAAGTAAATGTATTTCTTTCGGTCCAGGACGTACTCGGTGTCACACCCAAACTAGTAACTCGTTGGGAAAAATATTCCCATCCAGTCACACTTGTACTGATCACAAATATAATTATAAATACCTTTGACTATAATGCAGTTGGGTTTTATCGGTGATCTAAATGTAGATTCCGTCTGTATAGGCGTGTTGTATTATCGGACTGGAATAGGATAACCAAATATTCGATCATTCAGGACAAAAAAATCAAAGATGTTATTTATTCAAATAATTTATTTAAAACTAAACAAATAAATACGAACTCGCTTATTTTACAATAAATAGTAATTTTCCTAAACCGTATCCGTAACTGGAATATTAAATATTTATTAGCTAACTACAATAAATACCAAGCCATTAAAATTGATATGTAAAAGACGTTACGCAAGTACATATTATATCTCTGTAAGTTTAATATTGCTTTTGCTTCACAAATCTTTTTACTAAAAACTACAATATAATAATCTTCATTCTGAACAGATCAATATGGAATAAGTTTATCATTGAGGCACATACAAATATCTGAAACCGAGTTGGCAGACTTGTACAAAAAATACAATTCGTGTATTCCATACTTTTATAGTTGCTTAAGTTCTAACACCACAGTATTTGTTGCGATTTAGAAATTGTATTAAGATCTTCTATAATACCGAAAGACGCCTCATTTCAACTACATAGAAATATGAGACATCTGAAAAAACTAGAAAATCGTTTTAAAATAATAATACGTTATACAGATACCCATACTGGAAAACACAATACGAACTAAATACTGGCAATTTTAAGTAGTTGTATTAAGAATTATTTTGCAACAAACTAACTGTTTATGTTAGAACTAAAGCAACTATTTATGTCAACTATACGAACAATTTACAATTAGAAATAGCTTATTTTTGGCCCTATCACTATGCGAAACCTGAAAATCCACTTTAAAATACACCAAAAATTTAATTATACTACTAATATTAATTTAATACTGAGTACCAACAATATAGAAAACCATTGCTCAAATATTTCTTGAAATACGTAACGTGTTGCTATTCTATACTAGTTCGTTGATTAGATATTTCATAAAGCTGTATAATAATCACTATTTGTTTATGTAGAAAATGTAGATATATGGAAAATTCTAATAAATGCTATTGTATAATTAGCTACAGTATGTAATGCGTATAAATATAAATCTTTACTGAATTTTAATGACAATTTATTATATTATTCGTATATTATTTTACATTAAGCTTTAATCTAAAGGCACAACAGACAAGAACAAACATCGGTACGTTATTTGAACTAGTTTTACGAGACTATAGACCGTTTTATCCACGAAGACGCGCCCCACCACTTTTTGGTCGAGGAAAGGGCGGGGTGCGGGGAGTTTGATCTAAGCAATCAGAGCGTCATTATTGTAGTGTGCGTGTGCACTCTTGGATGCGTCATTATTGTTATACACGCACACTACAACAATGACGCTATGATTGGTCGGACCAAACTCCTTGCACACC